CGTAGAAAAAACGTTTCGCGTTCCGGAAAACTGGACACGTTCCTTCCCGTCCACAGGATTTTTTGCGCTTCATCCGATTTGATGTCCAACCTAGTTCATGCTTGTCGAAAAAAAAGGAGAACGGTGGCGGAGCAGAAGCCACATCGGCTCGATCAATCAGATAGCTTCTTACTTAGACACTTCTGACGAAATTTGTCAAAGCGCCTGGAATCTTTCATGGCTCGTCGAATGCATCCGGACGGTATAGACGGATCGACCAGTCGATCTGAACCGCTACCATTTCGGGTGTTGACTATCCACAGGGGCTCTGAACACTTCATTTCTGAGTGTTCAAAAGCCACTTCCAGCTTTCCTCACTGGATGAGCCTAACCGTTGTTTCTTCGAAATTCCGAAGATTCGAGCTGCGATTAAATCTCTTCGAAAAATCAATGATCGGCTCGAAGCGCGGATGGAGCGGATTCCGAGAGTCGCGCGTCTCAGTTGGCCGGTGATCCATCGCAGCCACAATAACAGAGGCTCGGGTCGTATTTTTTGCTGACAGCGAACACGCGACTCATCGACTGGGTGGCCTATTTTTGCGGTCAAATAGATATTTGTTAACAGAACCTCGTGGGGGGAGCGCTGTTGACTCAGTCCGGCTCTCGTTCCGGGAATTCGCGCTTGGGGTTGATTTTCGATCCCTGATGCCCCATTTTGGAGTCTTCGATTGCTGGTGCGTCACAACATCCAAGCATTGTCTATTAATAAGGACCGATGACGGCGATCGACCCTTACAGTCCCCGATGGTGCGCTCGCCAGAGCATCGGTGTCCCCCGAGGGGCAAGCCTTTCCTAAAATCCAAATATTTGATTCGAACCGCCATGATATTTCCAACGAGTACCCTGTCGTGTCCCGAGAAACATTCACGCCCGCTGTCGACAAAGTCTTCGCTGCTTATCGCGCTCGGGGAATGGACTGTCTTCTCTGCCGGGCGTGTCTCGTTATCGACGGTGTTCCTTCTTCGACCCGGCGAGGAACACCTTTGAAATATAGTCATAATCGAAATGTTGTAAAACACTCACGAATGGGAAAAGTTCGTCGTGCCGAAATGAAATAGAAAGGGTCTTCCCGATGATGAATTCAATTTCATTTGGATACCGTGTACGTTGATAGCGACGGTGCACTTGTGCGTTACCCCATCGTGTCGAGCTGGAAACATTTGTGTGTGCACCCACAGTCGCCGTTGGGAATGTTTCTTCCCCTGTCGGGTCACTCCGCATCCGCTGCTGTTGAGCCGAGCCTTGGCTCGGAGCAAAAGGTTCCATGGTTGGGGTCGCCGGTACTGATAAGCGACGGCGAAGACCCACTGCATTTGACTCGGAGGAGATAAGAGCGTTCGAATTTATATCGGTCGCTACAGAGGATACCCTATCGCGACCAGGAAGGTTAATCGTCCCGTTGGTCTTCAATCTCCTACCTTGCCCCCGAATGCCCGAAACCGAACCTCTGAAATCAGAAGCGAAACCACCGAGAAACGACAACGCGTATTTAATGCTCATCTCAATCTGTTGATGCATTCCTTGTGGTCTGCCCCGGAGGTTGTGACCTGGAATTGCGTCGCACGCGGTCCAATTAGATATCTGCTCTGCATTGGAGGCTATCCCCAATTTCGCCGCCAGGCTCGGTTTTGGGTCGCCGTTCTAGCCGGGGCGGCCATCCCATAATCGAAGCTGGTCGGTGCTGCGGTCTGCTGCTGATTTGCTGTTTGTGAGAGATCTCCGACAGCATTGCATCAAAGACAATTTCCCGAACTCGCGGTTGTCGGACAGACTACTGAGCTCGATTGAATACTCGGCGAAAATGTCGTGAACGCAAATGTTCCGAACAGGGAGCGCCGCGCGGAGCTCTGACGTTGGCCGGCTTGAGCCTCGAGAGGTATCTTTGGGGAGTTATTTTTTTACTGGGGGTCTGAATTTATGATCGCTCAATGCCACTCGATGTTTGGACCCTAGACCTTTCGTCGGTCACCGATGCCGCCTCTTCCTCAGCGCTCGATACACGTTGCGAGATAGGAAGGAAAAATATTTCATCTCATATTTGAAGATGGGTCTATTCCGAAGATTCTGTGGCTGTGCCTCGTTGAAACGTGGGCGGAGCCGATAAGTCAAGTGTTATCGAACGTCGATAAAAAAATAAATAAAGAACCGGGACGACGCTCAAAATGAGGAACTATAAATGATGACCGTCTGCCGGTCTACGTCGTCTACGACGAGCCAGCGGAAGATGCTCCCGTCTTGAGAGCTGCCGTTCTGCGGATGAGTTGAGATCGAAGACCGTCCGAGTTTCCACGTAACGCCGCGAACAGGTGGCTCTTCGGATGAACGAGGCTTTTTATTTCTCTGCTTCCCACAGTGGATCGAGGACTTCGGTCGGTCCGGTCTCGGGCTCTGAGCTCCGACGTTGGAGCTCACTCAGCTCGGTGACCATTGTGAGCCCCGCATTGTGTTCCTGTGGACCGACGAGTTGGTCCGACGCTACAGGACGGTCGTTCAATCGACCGACCGAACGGAGACACGAGTCTGGAGTTGGTTTATTCTCTTCGGCAGTCAGTCGTGAATCTTGAGGAGATTGATATCTGCTTAGGAGAGGAATCGCCTGGAGTCACTCGCGACCCACCGTCCGATCGAGAGCCCTCGAACTGACGCCAAGACTCCAGCCGTGACGAAGAATGATGATGATCAGCATCATCATCATTCCCGGCACAACGCTCTTCGAAAATCGCGACATTGTAGAGCAGGAGCTCTTCGTCTTAAGAGACAGACGACCGACTATGTATGTCCGCCGTAGTCGTGCAGATCGCCCTCCCTATCCGTACGGTCTGCTCGTAAGCCATGTTGTAGTAAGTCCCCGGCACTGAGACAGCCGTGAAGCAGGCATACGAACCGGAAACAATAGAGGTCCGAACCTGCCGACGGAAGTGGTCATCGCAGCGGCGCTAAGGTCCACTTCGAACGAGACGCTAGACGCCTACAACGGATGTGTGGTGCGGGTGGTCTGCGACGTGACTTTTTCATTCACGCATCTCTCATTTTCCTCTCGTCTCGTTGAAAACTATTGGTACAGGCTGCGATGTTTTTTTTTATTATTTGGTGTAGCTTTCTATGAGGTTTATGGACCTGGCGGCTTCGAATACGGTACGGACAGACCTCCGCTGAGATGAGCTTCGTCGAGAGAACTTGGCATGTGTGCGAAGTTCTCACGAGAAGACAAAAACCTTTGCTGTCTCCTGTTACTTCGGTTCATCTCACGAATCTGCGCTTCCCACCAAGCCAGGAAAAATCAGGACTCCGAGAAAAGAAGGTGATCGACGATAATTTTTGAGATACGGTCCTTTCTCGGGATATCGCGCTCAAAATGACTCTGTCGTTTTCTCTCACTCCGCTGATTTCGTCCTCTCGTCCGTGCCCGCTTGGCCCATGGAGAACAATGTGCCGTATGTTGGAGCGATGTACAATTGCTAAAGCACAAAGCTCGGAGGTAACAGTGCAAGAGCAGCCATCGAGTTCGCAATGCGTATCCAATCTGTCAGCAGCGTGCGGCACATTGTCTGTTTGGCCCCAACTGATGCATGCCTGTTAGCTTTCTTGGCGGTTTCTTCCCTCTGGCTCCTTCTCGACTGGCTCGCTCGACGATGCCGACGGGCCGCTGGGCTTCTGCCCGGTTTTCTTCTCGGCTTGTGGGAGGACGAACGGGCGGCGTCCTGGCGCTCGCTGGTGCACAAGCCAGTCCCGGAGCGAGCGTTGGTTCGATGCCTCGTCGGCTCGCTCGCTCGCTTGCTGAGTGCCCCATAGGGTGACCCCCAAAATCCCCCAGAGCCTACTTCCCCAGCAGCCCCGACCCCGTGGTACAATCAGCCCGGCATGGAGTGCCCTCACCATTCGGCGGCCGCCGAAGCAGCCAGTCGGAGAGCCAGCTCCGATCCGCTCAACCGAACCTTAAACGAACGCTCGAAGCGCGTCTGTATTCAGTTCTCATCTGGCCTCTAGCGGACTACCTTAGTGGTCGGTAGAACGGACTGCTTCCCAAAACGTCTGTGGGACTGTTAATGGTGTTTGTGTTGTTCAGAGCAGCTGTTATTGTTGTTTTCGTTTGTGTTGTCATCAATGCTCAAGCAGCGTTTCTCGTCCGACAGTGAGATGTGTTTATATTATTGAGTGGTAGGTGTCAAACGCTCGAGGATCTTACCTTCAGGGAGCTTGGATTTATAGTGAATCGTCGAGTTCAGTTTCCTCCATGGCCCGTGCAGGACCGGATCGAGACCAAGAGTATTGAAGAGACTTTCCCCGCGCTTTCCCCTTTTGTGGTTTTCTCGGTGTCGAAGCTCGACGAGTCGTGAGGGATAAAATTCAACGAAGCAAAGAGCTCCGCTCACTTCCCGATCGATCCGAATCCAGATTCTGTACACTTCGATGGAGAGATTGCTCACTTGCGGCCTGGCGAGCGAATTCGTCACGATAGGGAAAATCTCTCGTTTTCGCGGGAACGACATCGAATTTGCGCAAACCTAGACGGTTATCGAGTGCGATTTCGCGCAGGGTCTTTTCTTGGAGTTGAGCTAACGACCGTTCGCGCCAACGGTTCGCTCAGTCGCTTCTTCTTCTTCTCTCTCTCCCTCTTTCTATGTCCTATCTTCCTTATGTTTCTTGTTCTATCGACGACGTGCATCCAAGCCGGCTGTTCAGCCGGCCGGCCTACAAGCCAGCTAGCTTGTTGACTATTCCACTGACCAGGCTCGCGTTTCATGCGGGCGCTTCACGGAGTCGTTTCTTCGCGACTCGTCGGTCCTATGAAGCTCCTGATAACTCGAGTACATGTACCCCGTACCCCGGCGTTCGGTGATGCCGACTCCGATTCCAGGGGGGAAGCTTCCGCCTCACAGGGTTGAGACTTAAACGCGCTTTCTTCCAACTTTCAGGTGTGAAGAGGGTCATCTACCGGGAGAAAACCCTCCTCCGTCGGAATGTCGTGCTTATTAGGAGTCGTTGCGGGCCTTGCGTTTCTTCAAACCCTGGCAGGGGCTAGTCATCTCGTTAATCAAGATTGTGAGTTTCTGCGTATACGTGTCACGAGGCAGCGCTGTTTTTAAAGTAGAGATAAGACCAGGCTACGAGCTCGAAGTAACAAATCGAAATGGATCCGCTGTCAATCACGACGGATAATATTTTTCTGTCACCGACCTCCCACATGACAGCGATCGCTGCGGTTCGGAGGTGTTTTCCGACAAAAAAAATGGCATTCTTTTCTGCTCGCGAACCTTATGCAAATTCATTGGACCGGTACATGAACCGTCGTTCAGAACGTCATTGTCGGACCAGTCGGACCATTTCGCGATTGGACAAGGTGAAAGACAGATTCTTCTTCTCGCTTCGAATCGTTCTCGCGTGAGTTCCGGCGAGAACCTTGAGTTGAAATTCAATTTCTCGACCAGATTGATGGGAACTTGATTCGCGTCTCCATTTTTTTCGCTCGATTTTTTTTTTCTCTTTCCGTTGTTGGCGTCTCCCGGCGTCAATTATTGGCGACAGAAGATTTTTCGCCGTTCACACCAATCGTGTGGGCCAAAACGTAATAATTCTCTGCATGCATAGAAAATATAACGCTTCACGTCGTAAAATCAAAACTGTGGCGGGGTGTGGGCGACTGACGACTGTATCGTTTCCAGAATCGTATTCTTGCCTATGTCGTTCGAAGACGGCGCAGCGTCGTCGCAGAGAATTTATTAGAGCTGTATTCGATGGCGACTCCAGCGTCTGTCGATTACACGAGTAGTCCGACGACGTGCCAATAACGAGTTCACCGGAGAATTCGTATCGTTTCGCAATTTTCGGTACCAACCAGATCACACGGAGTCGCTGAAGGACTGATTGGCGCTTCCAATATTTCTCTGATCGGCGTGGAATCTTCTACGAAATTGAAATGAAGCTGCTCGAGATCTCCCTTGTCCTGATCAGACTTTCCGTCACTGATGCCTCGTGTCTAGATCGGCGCTTGAAGATTCTTGCACATGAAGCTTTCCCGTCGCTCAGAGATTTTGCATTCCGAACATTGGCTCCGAATCCGGAGACACTGCAACAGAAATCCAACCGGAAGACATGTCCGCAGGAAATTTCCTGCTTTGAGACGATCCTTAACACGGCCATAAACATCGCTTATAATCCTCGCCGACCGAAAGAATCAAGACGATCTGACCCAATTGCGTTTCTCCGCCGCTATGATCGTCGTTCGGTGGACATTTCCTGTCTGCCCCTCCTCCCGCGTAGTACGGACGAGAGTCATCTTGATTAACGTGCTGCTCGAAGTGACATTCTCGCTCGCTTTTCAGATGTCGACAAACAGCAACTTCGGTTCTCTCAACGCGATGTGGAGAATTTCACCCAGCTGTTGGTGGATTCCGATCGAGGGCAGCTTATAGTCGGAGCTAGAGACCACATCTTCCGATTGGATCTCGAAACTCTTGCTCTGAGAGACTTCACCGAATGGTCTCCGTCCGAGGCCGATATCACGTCATGCCTTCGGAAAGGTCAAGCCGCTGAAGACTGCCGGAACTACATCACGGTGCTGCACGAGAACAACGGCACCATTTACATCTGCGGTACGAATGCGTTCGCTCCTGTCTGCCGAAAATATTCAAGCGACAACATTAATGAAATTCTGGACGAAGAAAACGGGAGGCTCAAGTCCCCGTTCTCGCCTCGAATGAACGTGACGTCGCTCATGACGTCGCAGGGTGAGCTCTTCGTGGGTTCGCGAATCGATTTCGGTGGAGCCGATCCGGCTTTCATCCGGAGCGGCGTTCGGAGCCACAGCGTTCTGAGGACACCGCAATACAACCCAGAGTACTTGAGCAACCCGCAATTCGTAAATTCGTTCGAGGTCGGCGATTTCGTCTATTTCTTCTTCCGCGAGAACGCAATCGAATACAGCAGCTGCGGCAAGAACATATTCTCTCGTATCGGTCGTGTGTGCAAGAACGATCAGGGCAGTCCGTACAATTCAAAAAGCTGGACCACGTTCCTCAAAGGAAGACTGAATTGCTCTTTGCCCGGCGCGATTCCTTTCTACTTCAACGAGATGCAGAGCGTTGACTACATCAAGCGCCAAGAAATGTTCTACATCACTTTCACCACCGGAGAGTGAGTACCGATGATCCGCTATGATCATCAGTTCTTCCGTTCTAAATTATTCTGTATCATCGTACATTCGAGATATGAGTTTCCAATCCGGAGTTCTCATGATTCCGTGATATTTCGTTGCGATGCATCAACAATGACTCATGACTCTTTCTTACTTCCAGGAATAGCATCTACGGTTCGGCCGTGTGCTCCTACTCGCTCGACGAGATCAATCGGGCATTCAACGGTCCGCTGACCGGGAAACTGCACAACTTCGCGAAAGGAAAAATCTCGACGGACCGATTCCAGTGCCGAAAGTCACACGACATGATGACGCATGAGGAGGATCTAGACGTTAAGATGTACCAGCAGACCTTTGAAGCTGTCCAGTCACACTCGAAGCCCTTATACAATTCGGAGCTGGAACGTCTGACTCACATACAAGTGGACACTGTGCTCATGGATCAGACGCAAAGCGTCGAAGTGATGTTCGTGGCGTCGCTTGAGGGTGTCCTCAAGAAGATCGTTCATCGACCTAACACCAATACGCGTTGCGTCGTCGATGAAGTGAAACCGTTCCGTGACGGCGAGGTCCTGACCAAACTCACGTTGATTAAAGAGAAACAAGTGCTGATCGCGCTCACGACGATGGGCGTCGTACAGCTTCCTCTGAGCTACTGCGAACAATACCGGACCAAGAAGACGTGTCTCAGCGCTGGTGACCCTTACTGTGGTTGGAACCTCGCGCAAGGCAAGTGCACAAGCGCGCCGGGCGGGAACGTTCTCGAGCCGCAGTGGGAACAAGGTGCTCCGTGTGTAGTGGATGAGTCGATCGTCGACGGTGGATGGGGCCGTTGGTCCGAGTGGAACCTGTGTGGACTTTACGAAGGCCTCGAAGGCGACGGCTGCATGTGTCGACAGAGACGTTGCGACTCCCCGGTCCCGCAGAACGGGGGAAGTGCTTGCTACGGTGCTGACGTGAGTATTTCCCAGAAATGTCGACGAATAATAATTTCCTTCATCGATCACGGCAATCAAAATTCAATTATTATCGACACTCGATTCCGTACGATGCAGAACCCACCGACGTCCGTAATTCTGGGACCCAGTCGTCCTCGTTATCAGATGGAATAATTCTAATCGATGTCGCTTTCTGATCAGGTTCAAGTTGCCAACTGCACCAAACACGGCGGCTGGACAGACTGGAGCGAATGGTCCGCGTGTAGCTCACCTTGTGGACCGGGATACCAGCATCGATCACGCTCGTGCACCAACCCCAGACCGGCTTTCGGGGGTCAGACCTGTATCGGAAACGAGCGCGAGGAACGAGGTTGTCCCAACACCCCGAGCTGTCTCCCGACGGCTCCCGTCGTCAACACCAAGACCATCTGGGGCCATTGGGGCGAATGGTCGCTGTGCAGCGCACCGTGCGGCGGAGGCTTCCAAGTCCGTCAACGCGAATGCACCCTGCTCGACAAGAAGGACTGCGAGCTCGGCTGCTCGAAGGAATACCGCGAGTGTAACACTTGGGAATGTCCCGAAGTCAAGGGCCGATCCGAGTGGACCAAGTGGCTGATCGTCAATCAAACCAACGACGGCTACTACGAGCAGAGATACCGTTACCAGTGCGTGGCCAGAGTGCCCCACGTCAAAATGGATCTCATAACCAAAGTGGACGAGCGTTTCTGTCGTGACAAAAGTGACTGTCACGACTCGGCATCGAACGTGATCCAGCAGAACGCCACATGGTCACCGTGGTCGGAGTGGGGTCCGTGCAGCGCCACCTGTGGGGGTGGCTTCCGTCGACGACAACGGATGTGCGAAAGCTCACGGCCCGAGATCGACTGCCACGGCTTGTCGATAGAGGAGAGCCAATGCAACACTCAGATGTGCCCCGCCGAAGGCTGGTCGGAATGGACTCAATGGTCGGATTGCGATTCGAACGGTGAACAGCATCGCAAGCGACACTGCATCGCCAAAGACGATTATCAGCGACGCTGTCTGGCCGGCGTGCACACGAAAGAATCTCGCATCTGCTTGCACCTCGGAGCCAAGCTCGCCGGCACCGGCCTGCAGTGCGCCGGCGCGGGAGGACTCGCCGTAACGATGGCTGTTGTGATCTCGTACATTTTCGGCCTCGCCACGATGATATTCGTCGTCCGTCTGTACAACAAGAGAAACCGGGCGAACGCAATGTTGAGCGCGTCTTCTATCTCAACCAGTCTCCAGACGATTCCCATTCCGAAGAGACTCGGATCGTTGCCTCTGGTTCCGGTGGAGAGCAACACCTACGTGCCGACGTCTCAGTTCAAAGGACAGTTCAACACATTGCAGTCGACGCCGGTGAAAGCTGCCACGATAAAACGGAGCAATACGTTCCGCGCACAGTTAGGCGACGATCAGAATTTCTGAGGCCGCGGCCCACTCTCCGAGGCGGATCGTAAGATGAAAGCTCAGCCCTATCGAAAGCGGTACGGACAGTTCCCTGCCAAACCAAAACACAACGAGTTTCCCATCCGATTAGCCATACATCATTGTAAATATTCCCATCGATGAGCTCGCAATTCGAGGGAGCTCTCAGGCATCTCCCGATTCACCCGATTGCTGGCTGTAGATAGGGGTCCAACCGTTGATCTGTAGACGTAGTATATTTAGATACAATATACTGTCGCAATATTAGTATGAGTTGTGATTCTGGCTCGTGGACGATCTCCAAGGGTGAAGCGACTCGTCCAGAGTGAGCTGCTGAATGCGGAAAGTCGGGTCGTTTCTAGAACGAGAGTGTGAAACACAACGAAGCAACGAACGAACGAACACATCACGGGCGTCGGGAGCCAACTCAGCTGCTATAGGATGACGAGGTATGACATTGGAAGCAGCGCGCACAAAACTATATCGAAACTCGCTAGATTATGCGACCGATTAGATTGCGAGATTCATATTTTGATTGGATTTTAAAATACTGCTCCGAAGGACATCAAACGCCATCTACTCCCTCGCTGCTGGAAAGCCGGCGGCGGAACTCTCAAGCTCAAAGCCGACGAGGACAGCCGATGTCGAGGGCCGCTCATGAGGTGGTTGTTAGGACGAACCTTCGCTCTCTAAATGGGGGACTTTGTCCATGGTTGACTCGTTGTAATTTTGTGGATTACAAAGATGAAATCGTTCGGCGTGCATTTCGCTGCATGGAGAATGCTTTTAAAAGAACTCTGTAAATAAGACTATTTTTATGGAATTACGCAGCTCTCCGAGAGAGCGAGAACGATGTAGAGAAAGCCACTCTGTTTGAGAATGATTGGATAGGATGACAGAATAAATGGGTGGATGTATGGATGGATGAACGTACTGCTCAGCCGGACACCGCATGCGAAACGAGAGGAACAGGTGATCTTGGTGTCCGGTCATTGCAGAGATCTTCGACCCGAGTCGGATGAAAACAGGCTTAGGAAGTGTATATACAGTATCAATGTTCAAATCGTTCAGTATTTATCGCGAAAAGAAAAAGCTCGTTTCCGGAACAAAAATCGTCAATTGTGTAAAGGAATGCTGAAAGCGAGTGAGCGAGGGTGTTTCGTGGCGGGAATCCATTGTTTGGAAGGAATTACTAGGCCGTCGCGTCGTTGCGAAAATGATTTCAAGCAGAGCATACATGCTCAAGATCATCATTGAGAAAAAATCAGTGGAAGACATCATGTATTTTCGTACTTCGACAGACTCGAGTCTACAATAAAAGTATACTCCGAAGAATGCACTGACTATTCTTCCCTGAACCTGCCTTCTTATGGTCGGATGGAAATCGATGGTCGAGTCCGTAAGGGAGAGATCTTGTCGCTTTCTTTGAGCATCGACGGCAACGAAGCTAACGTGGTGTCTCTTGAGTCGCGCGCGGTAATAGACTCGGATCGAGCTCGAGATGAAAAAAAAGAGCGCCCGATAAAGGTTCAGAGCTCGGCTCGGATCGATGACACGTACAGTGAGAACCCGGACTTGGCATCCGTGGATGAAAGAGTACTTTCCGAATGGCGCAGGTATTTCCGGAGTAGAGCTCAGGCCGCACAGATCGATCGGCTCCACAAAAAATCATCTCAAACTGAGAAAGTTCTGCCGACGTGGTTCTCCCTAGTGCTCTCTCTGTTAATATTTTGTGGTCTCATTTTGTATACCTACATGTTGAATGAATGGGCCGAGAAGATCATCCGCTACCAAGCTATATGGTGATTATTCAACATCAGAGCATCCTTTCACGAGGCGTCTCCGGAGTTAGGTGAAGTTCTCGAGAAGACTGGCTGATGGAATCGGAATACATTATATGCTAACTTCCCGCAAGATATGGAGTTTTTATCTCTGTAGAATCACCAAGGAATCCGAGTTCGAACCGATTCAACGCGCGAGACAGAATGTGACAGGGGCATTTCGACACGCGACCGAGCTATCGTCGCGGCGAACGGGGTGATTGCTTGGAGGATTGCCGAATGGCCTTGCGTATTCTAATTCATCGAAACAAAATCAGAAAATTTGGGTAGAGCACCGAGAAGGCACGTCATGCGATCATCGAGGAAAAATGCGTCCAATAAGTACCCTCCCTCGGCATGTTGGAGGAAGTAGTCTACCGTCAGGAATGATGCCTAACAATGCGCCTTAGACTTTCCCGGAAAGGAAAACCTTCTTAACAGAGGGACAAAGTGGCAGTCATTTGGAACGCTCTATCGATTCGTCTCCACGGTTTGAAATCACTCGCTCAAAGTTCGGAAGGCAAAGTTCTGACTTTATTCCAACAAGACAAATTCATGAGTGAGCTTTATGCCCTGTCGCTGGTATCGGGCTCATCCTCATATGTGTGTCATACCTTGCTGAGCTACCCTCTGACATTTAATCGGCTGATCGGAGCTTATCACGGAACTACTCGACAGATCGCGCCTCTAATTCACGTGATTCAGTAGGACATTCCCAAAATGATGTCATCTCGGACAAGGTGACGTCCCGCTCGCTCGGTCAACGTACCCTAGAGTTTCTGGCTCGAACATCCGCCGGATCCGTAGGAGCAGTATTTCCTCCTGAATTATGTCGTCATGCGTGGAAAGGCTCGGAGAGAGCCCGACATCATAGTCGAGACAGTTCAAGCTGGGACAGAGCACTTAAATTTGATTCCGCGTCCGCCACGCTGAAAGGGTTTTCCGCGAGGCTTCCGTGAGGGAGGTTTCACCCGTCTGCCGGCGGAAACGTTTCCGTCTTAATCCATCAGAGATGACTTCGCTTCCAAACAACTCCATGTGATAGAAACTCCTTCCTGAGTCTTCCACGTAGCTCAGTAGCTCTTTTCGTATCTTCCCAGGTGGATATTTCGCCCTTAGGTTTCGGGCTTCGGAATCGAATCGCCATGCGGGAAGACCAGATCATCCGGGGATCCGAGCTCACGAAGTGCATCAGAGGAGTCCCCGCTTTTCCGGGAGATCTAGGCTATAGCCGATGGTGATGCTCGCGCTCGGCAGGTGGACGAGGATTCCGCCTAGGATTCGGCGTGGTGAAATCTCTTCAGAGAGGCGTTCCTCCGGAACGAATTCACTTCTCCGAACACCTCCCATGTCCATCGCCGAAGCGACCCGCGGCTTGATTTTCGCAGCTTCTGCGGCCAACCAGAGAAGTTGCAGCGGGAGCTTCGATGCGTGGGCGCGACCCGAGCCTTCGCATCGCCATCGACGTTACTCCCACTGACCTGTGCTCTTACTAGTCAGATCTAGAAGGATTTATGCGACAGCTCACAATAAGTCGTATCAGCTGATCGCTGTGAATTATCGTGCGAGGTTATTGCTCGGATCGCGGTCGAAGCTGAGGGCCAGGCTACTTACTTTCAAGCTACGCGTTTATTCAGTCGAATTCTGATCAAATTCAATTCAAGCTCAAGATCGCTTTTACGGGGGGATCCCCTACGAATCGGTTGAGCATGACGGGTCTGAACGGCTTTCGAGATGGAAGCCCCACACGCCTCATCTGTTCGCGATCGAGGCATGGTGTGATGCTTCTTCCGCATCGAATCTCGGGCTCCATAGCCGAAGAAGAAGCGACATTTCTCCGCCGTATCGATGAGCTAATAATTACACCTGCATAACGCAACACGCGTCTTCTCGGCACAGAAGGGTCTCAGACTTGACGAAGAGAGAATCGAGCGAGAAAGCTGCCGCTAGAGGAGGCCGAGCAAATTTATTGCTGCTCACAGCATCTCCTCGGGAAAAAATCGCCGAGATTTTTTTCTGGAAAATTTCCCCCGGTCGGCATGCCGTCCTTAATTACCTTCAATGAAATGCAGGTTAGTTTTCAACGATACCAAGAGCGGAGAGAAGCTCCGCGAGGCGCAGACAGATGCTTCCTTGCCCTCCTCCCGCGGAGGGATCGGCGAGAAACCTCAACTGCTCGCTGACGAGACAAAGCAACGGTTGTGGTCTCGAATCATTGAAATTTCAAAATGAGATCGTTCGACTTTTTTGTTTCGCGGACCAGATAGATCCGCATTACCGATAATTCCACGGGAAATACACTCGTTTAGGGCAAGGATTCGTGCTAAGCAATCGAATGCACCTTGGGCGTCCGACCGCTGTCGCCATCGATGCAGCGAGCCGACTGACCATGACTCGCTCGAGCACATCCGAGCGATAAGAAAGGATAGAGAAGCCCCCTCCCGCCCACCTGCTTGAAAGTGGACTGAGAGATCCTATGGCTCGAATCCCGCATCCTCGATCTCGCGTAGTCAGCGATGCGCGTGCGATGTCGTTGCTCTCTTCAAGTCTGATAGCATCGACTCTCATCAGTCCGCTAACGATTGTCGTGATACTTGAACCTCCCGGAAGGGGCCGAAAAGGTGTCGGAGCTTCCACCAGTGAAGTCGCCGCTGCTAACGGCTAGCTGCAGACTGCATAGTTCGTCGCGTCCGACGACGTGTCATCGAAAGAAAGGACGTAGGTGCATAGGATACGTAATCTGGAGTTGAATTCTTCGGTTACGTCAATGATAATGTCGGAGTATGAGACAGAGGAGAATTACGCGACTCGATGTCTGCGGCGGAGTTTCCTGATGCGCGGGTCGAACCCCCGATTCGGCTTCTTTCTCATGCGCGCCCGCAACTTCCGAAAGGAGCTTTGATTTTGCTCCGGAGTCACCCACGAAACAGATGCTTCAGCTTTCCCATAGGGATCTTCGATCCGTCTCTCTGCGACCCGCTGAGTGATTTCAGCCAGGAGTTCCCTGAGCTCCGTCTCTCCGGCATGGGTTCCGTAATGCTAGTCGCAACGTTACGATTCACGGTTCACGGCTCGAAATCGCTGGCAGTACGCGTAATCCTTGAAGGGAATCAATGCCCACCCGATTCGGGGAGCCCACGTGCAAGCGCGGGGACAGCCGTCGGATGCTCATGATCTCATCCGTTCCCATCGCACCATGATGCTCAGGCTCGGGTATTCGGAGGCTCGGAATCGACAATAATTAATGTCTCAAACGGGTTAATTGATTCTCGGAATTCTCACAAAGTAATTTAGCGAGCAGACCTCCGAGAGAGTTTTTTGGGTAGTTCTCACCGTCTCAGCCGTCGGAGGGGGCTCTGGAATCCCGCCGAGCGAAGACTTCGGCTCCGAGAGTGTTTCTTCCGCCCACCCGTGGGTGAACGCAAGAGACCGGCGGTGGACCTGAATGCTATGCGAGTCGCTCATGGGGTGCGGAGCTTTGGTGTCGACCGAAAAAGGATTTGATCGAAGTCTGTGATAAGAATCATGGAAAACGTTTCCAAGTGGAAGAGGAAAATCTTCGACGGTGGATTGGCCCACAGACAGACGTGTCCGTCGTGCTCCTGTCCGCTTCGGGTTCGTCCATGCTGAAGATCCCCGAGCATAAAAGTGCTAGGACCTAGGACCCTGAGAAGCGTTGAGCGTAGGGCTCAAAGCACGATCAATTCAGCTCAGATCGATCGCCGCTGTGCTTGAGAAGTTCCAATGTTCCTCTGTGATCCGACGACCATTGGTCCCACAGCACCCTCGGAGCGGGACTGGCCCCTCTCGTCTAATTTCAGCATCCGAAAAGAACAAACTCAACGCTCCAAGGTCGGGCTTCACGGAGGCTCTTCTGCGATTTCTTCGGTGGAGGCGAGACTCTCATGTGCCTTCAAGAAGACTGTGAGGGATGCGGCGCGAGCCCTCTCTCAAGTCTTCTAGTATATTTAGCTATGGTCCTGGTAGGAGTTTCCGCCTACGACTTTCGCACTTTCTTAGCTTAAGAACCCTTCAGCAGAAAATTTCAATCGAGTCAGAAGTCTTTCTACACACATCGAGCGCTCAGGACTTTCTGCCACCGTCGACTAGTGAAAGTTTTCGTGAACCAAACATGCAGCTGCTTCCCATGCGTGATCCCCGAACCATGAGCTGGTTCGGTGCTGGGGATTGGATTCTACTCATCTACATCCTCGGTCTTTACGTGGGCATAGTGAAAGTAATCCTGCCCAAGTATATGGCCAAGCGGAAAGAGTTCGATCTGCTCGGCTACATACGATGCTATAATCTGCTCCTCGTCGCCATCAACGCTGTTTTCGCCTACAAGATCGCGAGACGGTCCTATTTCGGCGGAGGGTACAGCTGGTTTTGCCAAGGTTTGGATCTTGGAGGAAAGGACACCACCCTGCTTCAACTGAACTATCTCTACATGTTCGTTCGAATTTTCGAGTTCTCGGATACGGTTTTCTTCGTGCTCCGAAAGAAGTTCAACCAAGCCACTTTCCTGAACATTTCCCACCATTGCATCGCTGTCGGTCTGCCGTGGTATGGAGTTGCGTACGGGATCGACGGTCAGATCTGCCTGATGGTTCTGTTCAACATGGTCGTGCACGTGATTATGTACTCGTATTATTTTCTGGCCTCGTTCCAATCCATGGTCCCCTACCTTGGCTGGAAGAAACACTTGACGAAGTTGCAGATCCTGCAGTTCGCCGTGGTTCTCGTGCACATGTCGATTCCGATATACCACGACTGCGGATATCCGCCGCAGAACTCTATTCTTGTCATCTCGATGTACGCCTATTTTCTCGTCATGTTCACTAAGTTCTACGGAAGTACGTACAGCGACGCCAAGAAAAGCCTTCCCGAGACTAACGGTAGCATAGCCCGGGCAAATACGCACAAAATCAAGTAGACGTAGAGTGACCGCCGCTGGAAACTTGGCTGACCTGTAGATGAACTGCTATCGATGAAAATGAAAATCGCACCTCCAGGTCCGAAGCTAAACTAGAGTCTCACTGTTTGTAAATTACCGATTTATCCCTCGTAGATTATTACATTGTTGATCGACTTCGGTCGTTGATGGGCAATAAAACAAGCTCGCACTGAAGTGAACAAAGCCAGTATCCTGCTCATTCCCTCCGAATCGAATTCTACATGTCTGAAATCAACTCAGAACCCTCTGGATTATTGCACGACAATTGGTGCAGTGCGACCATTGCGCTTTGAGGTGCTTCACGACCGTTGCGGGAAGCTTTGCGGCGATAATAATCGAAGAGTCATTCGGAGTCCATGACCGTGACCGGAGTTCATTACTTCTCGACTTCATCCGAGACGGCTGAGCTTATCCTACTACGTGAAACTGACCCATCTTCTGGCAGATGAGCTCTGAAGTGGCAATCGGCGAGAAAGCCCGAATAGACTCGACGATAGACAACATTTAGTGAATTGAAGAGCTGTGCTCGTGCCGTTACGTCATCTCTGTGCAGACGGGTCACTCAGGATATATGACGTCGGCGAGGTGTCGTGAACCAGCTACCATTGTCATTCTGAAGGAGGAAACATTTCGTTCCTCTGCAATTATTAGACCAGAGAGCCCATAATCCGAAGAGGTCGCTCTGCTTTCGCGATTCTTAGCTGAGAGCTACCCAGAAAATGGATTTCCGAGCGAGAACATCCCGCCCTGAAAAAGATAGTCGGGAGAGTCTCACAGCCTGACGGCCCCCGGAAGAAGTCGTTCCAAATCAAGAGACCCTTGTGCGGAGTGGCGTGAGCAGGAATAGGCGGGAGCGGGCACGTGGCTCGGGCGCACTTGCCGGGTTACGCGATTTCCGACGACGACATTGAAAACACGGGAATCCTTCGACGATTGCAGGGAGTCAAATCTTTTCAGCGAGGACGGTCAATGCTTCAGAAAGGGATGCTTTCATGAGGTCTCTTCGGGTACGGACAGGGTATGGACAGTTTTAAAACGCGAGAAGGGAACTATCGCCCCCGCCCCTCGAACCCTCCTTCGCTGCGACTCAGAACGCTAGAAGCTCGATTATGAGCACCTTCGACCTTTAATGTAGGGATTTCCATGTTTCGATGATATTCACATTCGCATATTCATCGTATCGTAACTCACAGGCTCCTCTTTGTCCAATCGACGGAGGAAGTACGTATGAGAGGACCCACGAGCGGCTCGGAGCCATCGTCACATAGATTTCACGCAAATACGTCAGAGAGGTCTGCTGTGGTCGCCCCCGATACAGAACCATCGGAGACCCAGAGCAGACACAGTTTTGGACTCGTTTCTTCGCACAGATACGCAACGACATTGACAAGCGAAAGCTCTGCCTCCGGCTTCCGACGCCAATTGAGACTTCAAGTTTCCATCCGGGACGTGATTGCGGAGGAAAAGATGATCCGTGTTAGCCAGCCAGCGTTTACCTTGAAATTGAGGATTTATTGATGGTAGAAATATATACCTTGCCATACTAGTCGCTGAGGATAGCAGAAGCGGATCTCCCTATCAGCACATTAATTGAATAAGTCCGCTGGGAAATTGCTCAGTCAGCAATTTAAGCTTAAGGGATCATTTAAGCTTCGATCCGTGATGACGCCCTGAGTGTCCAGGGAAGCATTGATTCGCTCTCCGTATCGATCCAAAATCCAACCATATCATTGCCTCACCATGAAAGACGACGACACCGAAGTCACAAGATGCGCACCGCAGTCTCGTACAGCACCTGGGGCTCTTTGGAGTTGAAACTCCGCACGCGAGAGACATTCCCGCCAATAGGACTGGCGCACATCTTCCGCGATCAGCATGTGTCGGTTCTATTTGAGTAGATTTCTGATTGCTCTGATTCTCCTGCTCTAAGAGATCGTTCACAAGGTCCTCGATTTCATCCTCAAGCATGACTAGGAATCTCGGAACGAAGCGAAACTAGGTGGTAGTATTTCTGTCTCCATGACGACGGGCCTCCTCGGATTCTATCTTCACTTCCGGAATCCTTTCTCGTTACATCGAATCTCGCGCGATGAAGACCGTTTGAAGAGGGAAAAATTCGAGATACTCCGATGGAGATATCCACTCATCATTGCGTGATACGGCATCTGTCTGATCAGAACGGGGATCTTACGATGTCACGACGTTCGGGATAGCATCCTCGCATAAGGAAAGACGCCGCATCAGGACCCTCGGAAGCCTTGTTCCGGGATGAGCGATAGTGATAAGCGGGACGCTCATCAGCTACGGTACGTTCCCAGGATAGATCGAATCCTATCGAGTCCGCGCCCCCCGCATCGAAATCTCATTCCTTCGGCGGCTTTCGCGCCATAATTCAAAACAAGTAAACACGGTTAGGACGACCGACGACAACGCTCCCCGACATCGATACGGAATGAACTACGGCTGCACAGCAGGCACACACCGTGTGTCGGATGATTCCCTCATTACAGTGCCGACTTTCTTAGATAGTTTCGCGGGAAGTTGTGAGATGCTCGTGTTGCCGTTCTTCGCGTTTATCTCAGATTAGATAGCTATCGCCCTTCCTTGGTCGAGGAGTTGCCACGATAGCGCCAAGCAGGGATCGAGGCGATTTTTTTTGGTTCATAACGGAATAGGCTTTCTCTAGGAATAGTTCGTGGTAGTTTGGGGAGGACGCACACGCATTTCCAGTCTGCATCGTCCTCCTGGAATTGGGAGTCTCTCATTGGTTGCGCAAGTCTGCTCTCGATCCTGGTCGGCATACCCACCGCGTGAGAGCAAAGAAAGAATCAAAAATTACCGTCCACTGCCAACGGCGAAATGTCATCGATAAGTCCTTGCTCGGATGTGTCTGACATGACAGAGCTCAACAAAAGCTTTGGGCTCTACCTGAAACCGATTTGCAGATCCAGCATAACTCTCCTGCTGCCGGCGTCTTTAGCAAAACAGAGCATCTCGATTTCCAATTGGGATGTCCAGGTCGGTTCGAACTCGAGTCAGAATCCGAACGAGCCGTCTGATCGAATAATTGAGGGCGAAACTCAAGCAGGAAACTATATTTCTCTAGGAGAAATTACATCAAGTCGCCAAACCGGTGGAGTTCGACTCGATTAAAGCTGTGAAGACGACGCTCGATACGCTGAAATTCGAAGTCGAATTGACGAACAGAAAAGATCTCAAACGACTCATCAAACAAATGACATCTGTCGGTTCCATCAAAATCCAAGGTATGGGATACCGCCGATCGATGCCAATGAAGGGAGGCGTATTCGGTCCGTTTCCCCTTCGCCGTTTCCGGAGAAAATTCTATCCCTAACTGAGGCACTCGCTGATTCCAGGATGGCCGGAGCCCGCTCGATTACAGTGCTGCGAGGCTAAAATTCCGCATCCCGTCAAGCACGACTGGCAATCCTTTTTCAGGGATGCCAAGGGCTTAGACGAAATGAAGCCGGGTCAGAGACCGGATACTCTATACGTCAAGGGGCTCCCCATCAGATGGTAAGACCACCGCTCATATTCGAATCGAGATGAGTTCGAGGATTCTTCGGTCCGGAGAGTAGCCGAAACTTGATCTCTCAGCGAGGAAGGAAATCGAGGTCTCACGATCTCGGAGGAACTCAATTTTCTCTCGTCCAACTCAGGTTCAGAGATGAGGAGACTCCGACCGAGAACCCGCAGCCCAGTCTCACGAAGGTCCATCAAGTTTTCAAAGCGTTCGGCGATGTACGAATCGTGAACATACCCATGCTCGATGAGCTCAATATGTGAGTCGATGCTTACGTCTGGGTACTTCATTAGTTGAGAACTCTTCGTTTTCGAAAGCTGAATTCGTTCTGAGCCATGGCTTAGATAATGTTTCATGTTTTCAGGGAGTCTCATGAGGGCGGATCAGCTTTCGGCAAAATGTCGGCTTCGGAGTTGGTATTCGACGCTTACATCCAATACAGAGAATATGTCGGTTTCGTGAAAGGTACCAAAGCTGATCTCTCTCGATACTAGAGATACAACGACCGGTAATCGATGTAGATTAATTTTACCCCATATCTCCAGCCATGGATTCTTTGAGAGCTCAGAAACTCGTCTACAAGCCAGGAGATGCTTCATCCAAGGACTCTATGTACAGCGCGAACATCGTCGTGGACTTCGACAGGTAGGATGCCGATTGAGTCGAATATATCCACGTAATATATTTCGAGTGCCTTCCGGAGCTCAGACATATTCCGATTCACAGAACTCAACATCTTTCCGAAGCAAAAATCCAGAGGCGTGCGCTGGAACTTCGGAGGGCTAGAGAGATAGCTTCGAGGAAGAAACGAGAGAATCTCAAGAGGTTCGTAGTGATCATTCCAGCCAGTTTGATTGTTCTCCCGGATGCTGACGATGGATAAACAGGGAAGATTCTCAGCGCGGGCTTCTCGGTATCCGGAAAAAGCGAGAGCTGTTATCTATCTGACCTTGCCCCGATGTTGATGTCGCTAGGATTCTCGCGGTTCTCGAGTCTCGATCGCCCAGAAAGAGTTCCGCCGTCCATGACACCGAGCGTGTTCTTTCCAGAAAAATGCAGGAAGAGAGGGAAGCTCTGAAAGCCGCACATCGAGAATCCAACAAGAGGAACGTGCAGGACGAAGCTCGTCGACTCTGCCGAAATCTGATAGATCTCGTTGCTGTAAGCATCATCAAAACCGGAGCAACATCTGCCCCCTAAAAGACGCGGCGTCCCCCTGACCCCTCGGTCACGGCGCGGCTAAGTCTGAAAGCTACCGAGCGAGAACCCAGAGTGCGAGTCACTAACTTGCTATGGATTCCAGAAAGATGTGGAGGGAGAGCGGAAAAGAAAAGACAAGAAGAAAACGGAACCTCCGGAGAAGCCCCATGATTTACTCAAAATTCAGGCTGAGCATAGGAAGGAATTACTTCTGGTTCAAGAGCAGCTGTTACGAGAACGTCTGCTAAGAAGATTACAGGAAAAGAAGGTAGTGTAATCAGACGCGATCCTACTGATGGGAACGACGAATTCACGATTCCCTGCAAATCTCTGCACCGCTCCAAACCTTTCGTAATGAATACGCGGCTTCCCACTACATTCTCTTGACTGACGACTTTCATTTCAGTTGCGATCATCATCGTCGAATAATCGCTGACCTCACGGAGCATATGCTTTTTACGTGGCGCACAAATGTACGAGTCGATTCAGGTCTCGGTTCCCGCAGCTGCTTGGGTTCTGAGATCTCTGAAGTTGCGAGTCCCTAAGGTCGACCCGTGAGAAACCAATTGAGAAACCAAGGAAGAGAGAGGCGATACCCGAACGTCTGCCATCGTCATGGCTTGAAAAGTTGAATGAATAAAGGTGAAGAAGGATAGTAAATCATCGAATATCATTCATTCTTCCTTGTTGCATCGCTCGTACGCGTTGTGAAAACCGGACGTATAGATGAACATGCTTTAGGGCATTAAATCGAGTACCAGAAACTTCGCTCGTCGCTGATGCGAATCCGGCTAGATGGATGCTGGTACTTTATTTTGGTTTCATTCTCCCGACTTTTCAACAAAACATTATACAGCAGTGTGCGTCTGGCTGTCCGACGGATGGAAACTGTAATAATCGGAAACCACATCATCGTTTCCGTGAAAAAGTCCGCATCATTTCTTTCTCCTCATGGGTTAATTTATCCGCTCTTTCTTAACATTCATAGGTTTCATTAGAGTTGATTTCCCCGATCGGGAACGAGCTATCCGGATCCCACATCATATCTCTAGCGTTGTCGAATCGTGTTCGACGATAAGTTGGCCGAGCCGCTAGAAATGCATAGCGAGATCGCGTGAGCTCTTCACCATCAGAAATAACAAGCACGTTCAATGCCGCGGTAGGGAACGGAATCGAGTGAATCCTCACAGCTTTCAGTCCCTCGTGAAATGCGGCAAGAATAATTTAAACAGTAACATTCCGAGTATAGAGACGGAAGTTGCTCGCAGAATCACAATGGAGTCGGTGCTGTACGCACAAAATTGAGTTGAGGTCCTCCAAAGGTATATGAATGAATATTTCAAGGTTTGATGAACTTAAGGTCGACGTTCCGCCGCCTCTAACTAGAATCTCTCAAAGCCAAGCCAGCTGACTTCTTCCTCAGTAGCACTCCTGGAATGCTGGTCCTTTGTAATCTTCTATATAGAATTCGACTCGGCGGGCCGCTCGTCATTCTTCGGTGAGCATCTGAACATATCGCAGTTCTTCGTGGCGATCGCTTTCACCAGAGGTTTGAGCCCTAGCGGTTCCGCCCATGCTGTATCATAGCTGAGGGAAAGGGAAAAGCCTGTCAGAAAGCCTTCCAAGGAACTACGCCTCGAACCTCGTTTAGATTTCAACCTTCGAACGCAGGACCGTTTTCCGGGCGGTCCATCCCCGACGGACCAATAATTACCTTCTGGCGAGCATCTGCATCCAGGTCTGCGCCGAAAAAGTTTCACAAGTGAGTTTCTGGACGCAAGAAGGGTTCTCTAGTCCTTGGAATCCGTACTGATGAAAGGCCTATCATCAGAGTGGTAGGAGAGAGATTGAGTTGAGAGAATAAGGATACGCGAGTGCCGAGTCGATCGAGGAGCATCGAGTTGAAATGAAAATCCTTCGGAGGAAAAAACCTACTTTGATGACGGGGTTCGTTTCAAGGACATTCGCAAAGGCGTTCAAAGTATTCAATCCAGACGTCAGAGGATCGACGGGGTTCGCGAACTTCGGTTTATCGGGAGCATCCTGGATGGTGACGTCACGGCGGCGTCGACCGACTACTTGGGGCGGGGCGATGTTTTGCACCGGGATTCCGCCTTGAGGAAACGCTGAATTCAGATCAAAATCACACTTAGGGAAGAGGAAAAATTTCTTACTTCTGACCTGCTCCTCGAATCGAGCGAGGGTCTCTCACCTGCGAAAGGTATGCTGTACAGGGAGGGGACTATGCTCGCGAACAATAGTCCGAGCGGCAGAAGTCCTAGAAGCAGCGCCAGGGGACCCTTACTGCTTCTGTGATGATGACGATAAGGAGGTGAATGATGATAGCCCCCGTGATAACCACCTCCTCCGTAGAAATCATCGTATCCCGCCACCCCTCCGTAAGATGCTCCCCCGCCGTATCCTCCGTAGTACTCGGACGCAGATGCTTCTACAAAGTTTTCCTCTAGATTATCAATCCATTCAGCTGGCCATCGAGTGAATATTTTGAGAGAATCTTCGGTCGAAAGAAACTAAATCATAATTACGCTCACTAATGTGCTCCCCGTTTACGATTTTCCCCTTATGGATGGGTCTAGCGGAAACTTTTGGGGGAGGGCCGGAAGCCTGGGTGTCCGGCGGAGGCGCGGTTTGTTGTTGGGTGCTGCTGGCTTCGGCCTGATAGTATCCATGAGGATCCTCGTAATCTTGCTCGTAATAGGCTTCGTAAGGTCTCCTGTTCCTCGATGGTGAGGACCCTGCCGTCGCATGGTAGTCTTGACCATAATCCTGCGAATCAAGAAAAATGAAACGAACTCCCCAAAGTAGAGAACCGTGGCCAGCGGTGGGAGAGTCTACTAATCTTCCGGGAGCGGTATCCATGCGAGAACTTCACTTATTCGAGAGCAACGCTCGGAAGTTCCCGGGACTGCCGCTCGAGTCCCCAGTTATCGGAGCGGACTTCAACTCTCACCTTATGGTCGGTATAGGCATATTTGTGTTTGACGGGCTGGGCATAGTAACTTTTGGCAGGTGGACTTTCATCTTCGTCGGCGTATCCATAGTCGGCGTACATCGACGGGCTCGCGGTACTCGTCGGCTTTGGTTTCTTGTGTTTCTTCTTCGGCACTGGCGTCGGCATGCCGTATTGGCCATCGAATTTAGGAATCGACGCCGTCGATGGGCCCCCGGGAATATCCTTGTCCTTCTTGGCTTGCTGCGACGTCAATTGGGCCAAATAGTCCTGATAGGCGGATTCCTGTGTACGTGAGCCCAGATAAACCGGTGCGGGAGCCCCGTCCGGGGCATGGTTTTGCAGAAGATCACTCGCGTTATTCGGTGAAGCTCCGAGACAGGCTGTGATTGTCACCGCTAAAACGACGAAGGGTAACGATATCCAATGCATGCTCCCCTAGGAACGTGGGATTGTTCGAAGGGCGATTTGGGGCGATCTTTCCTGCGATTTCACTGAACGGCAGCGACAAGCAACACTCAGAACGGTCTAAGAGCTTGGCTGAGGATGTTTGCTTTAAATGCTCAGAGGGAAAACGGTTTCGGAGAGAGGTCCGACCGGAGGCAAACCTTCGGCAAGAGGGGGGAATATCTGTCGCTCCTCCCCATGAGAATGGATGATGACAACTAGCAGCTACGAATTACAGGGGCGAACACGGCTGGCGAAATAGGCCAGGCACGCGAGATGATTCGGTCCACTATGAAGAACAGAATGAAGACCTAGCGGTGTGTGAAGATCCCGTCACTACGAAGAGCACTGGAGCAGTGCTCACCAGCAGGATATAGAACTGTGCTATTGAATTAATTTATTGTAATATAGGCACACTTCACTGTTGTTAGCTTCGTCGCTGGCTGTTCGCAGCGCCGGCGGCTGTCGCAGTTGAACATAATTTGTGGCCTCAGTTGGAAGAGCTATTAATGATTCACTTCCCCGATTTTGCTCATCGCGTCAGATATTGGCGGCCGGCTCGAACGCCTTTCTAGTCGACACAAGAGCTACTGGCGGAGCGACCGAGCAGATACTCAGAGCAGAGGCTTTTCACTTGAAGCGCTGGAGAACAAACCAGCCAACCAACGAGTCAGCCAGCCCGAAAACCCGATCCGCAAAGTGAAGGACTCGCGTTTCCGCTTCCGAATGACGATCTCTGAACCCGTTCCAATGTGCTTGGAGCACCATTGACTTCAAAAATCTTCAGAAGAAGACCAGCCGGGGATGATCTGCTCAATAGAAGCGGAGAACACAAAAGCTACTCTCATAATGTGATCTGTAAACGGTGTGGTCCCAGCAATGATATCACTGATATGTCCGATATGAGCGACTCGTTGGCTCGACTACCCTGGCTAAGATGTTTGCTCGAGTGCGCAGATTGAATCGGTTGCGAGTCGTCATCGGCGATTTTCATAGCTGGCCACGTTCGTTTATTGCTCATCGGAGCTTCCGACGGAAGCGGCCTATCATAGACGCTGTCTCTCGACGCGCTCCGGCGTCTACAGCGTGAGTGAATAGCTCCTTGCTTGAGCGAGGAGATCAGGGAGCACCGAATACTCGATCATGTCAAAGCTGGCTCGAGTCCTCAGGATACCAATCTTTCCCCGTGCGGCAAACGAGTCCATCAAGAGAAGGATCGAGTCGGACATGGTCTCCTCTAACACAACTCTCATTAACCTCACATGATTCACATGCTGAACTCCCGATGAGCTCGAGCTCGAAATCCGAAATCAGGGAAGTTCACCCTCCGATTGGATATTTTTCCCGCGAGGAGAAGTCTTCCCTGACGCCGTTCGGCAGGTTGGTTGTCATTCCGGACTGTCCGTGTTCCTCGGAGATGGCGAAATTCCGAATTTTCACCAATCGTCCGGTGTAACTCCAAGCTCTCCACCAATTCGACCTGAAGAACTGAAGTTCTAGAGCGAGGCGAAAAAATTATTATCGAGAAGCTAATAGTTAACTTTACTCTCTGAATTGTGCAAATCAAGGGATACCGGCAGTGAGCTCGATCGATACTCGCGATTGTCAATTAATCATCCTCCTCACGTGAATCCCATAGTTCTAGGATTCGTTTTTCAGTGAGCCGTTTTTTTCCAAAGTCGTCCCTCGCACGGAGTCGGGGCTCTGGAATGCTGGCTATTGGCGAGAGAAAAACTGTCAAGCGACTAATGTCTCGAAACTCGCATGTTCATGCATTGGCTCCGTTGTTTGAGAATCTTGGACGAAAAAGACGGTCATATTGTCTCCTGAATAGCGGCTGCTGCGGCGAGACACAGCCGCAGGGAGATCCCGTTTCGAACACTATGAAATATGACACCGTAAAGCGGTTTCCTAATGGTCTGCTAACGTTCGGCGACGGCGACAACGACGACGACTTCGACTCCGGAGACGACGACAACTACGACAAGGAGCAGCGAGTGCAGCACCCTTAGTTCCGAAACGGCTCCGAAAGAAGAGTGTCACGGCCAAGCGACGAAATGCGAGGAGATTTCAACTCAAGAATAGAAGACGACGTCATTGCAAGCCAGCGAGAAGGAGGTACTTGATGCGTGAAGCCGGCTGACCGCACCCTTTGGGCGAACATCCGTTTCTTACGTCATTCCGTCGGGAAGCTCGTCCGGCCGACGCCACTACCACCATTTACCTGCCCGATCTCCCAGTGATTCACTAACTTTCTCGGTCATTCACTTACCTCCATCTCATTTGCTTACTGGCCAGCCAGCAGCGAAGCAACTCGAATCACTTACAAGTAGGTGTATCCATGCGAGAAAATCGCAACACAACAGTCACTATCACACACACTATGCTCCTCACCCTTTCGTAAGAAAGGCGCCGAAAAAATATCAGGATGTGTGATTTCGGAGAACGATACGAAATGAGAATATGCAGACTCCGCGGTGTCGTCGAGGCGACCACGGGCGAAATCTTCCCTGATCCGAACACTTAACGCGGGGAAGAGAAATAAATGTCGACCCATTGAAAATATTATGAATGTAAATCTCCCTGAAGGTTCTCATCAACCAGTTCATCTCCCGGAAAATAATAATCGGAAATTTTGACACAGAAACTTCCGATTTCTCTCCGCGGCCTGCCGGAAGCTCAATCACACACGGGATCGATTCCTGATGATCGGATAGAATTGGGATACCCGTTCCTCATTTATTCCGCGTTATGTCAAGGAATGCCAAGTTGCATGAGCCGCAGTCTGATTGGCAAAGGACGAAGCTCCGAACCTCGTCTTGTTTGTGGACGACCGATATGAGTCTCAAGAAAACTCGCTGGAAAGCTCATCTCAAAACTCGACGAGAAGGACGAAGTAGCGAGCGCACGGCACACTTCGAGGCGGGGGACGAGTGATTGGAAGTTGGCTCTATCAGTCTCGTTGCGTTTTTTTCTCGGCCTAGCGTATTCTCACCCGGAAATGATTTTCCTCTCGGCGTTCCGAACATGTCGGGCTCCTACGGGGCTCCAGCCTCAATCCGAGAGGGTCAGGCTAAACGCGAATGATGGCGGGCTGTCGGAAGGTCGATAGCTTTACGCGTCTCGAAGCTTGCGTCGTGAGCGCGGATAGGGATTTCCACCTCAGTTTTTGGAATTTCGCTCATAAAAGGACGCTACTAACTGCCGACGAACGCCCTGATTCGCGGCTACGATCTTTCTCAGAATCACTCGCATTCCGAATGCTTCAAAATGCTTGAATCAGACGCTAGATCTCAAAGAACCTATGGGCGTCCTTGCCCTCCATCCCAGGGTGTCGAAGGACAACGGGAATCTGGCTGAAAAGACCCTGCTATTAGAAGTAGCACAAAAGAAATTTGGAGAAAGCTGTGGAAGTCTCTACTCCCCGCAGCAGAGCTCCGCAGGTGGATGAGTGTACGATCGGGAATCTCTAGGTGATCGCAAAAGTTCGTCGAGGAAACGCCGAAGTCGAGTCAAAAGCGTCCAGAGTCTCGATAGAGCGCAGATCGAACCTCCCGTCGATCCTTCTCGCTGCCGTGAGGCATGTTCCAGCGCAAATATCCGGACGAGATGAGTTTTCCCGGAATGAGAACGAACTGGAGCACAAGGTGTTGACAGAGGGCTTGTTTTTACCCCTAGAATAAAATAAGGCAAAAAAAGAGCGAAAAGGATCCGGAAAACAGTAATTGGGACATGCAAACGTCGCTAAACACTGGACAGTGAGAGACAGTCTTCCGTGAAATAAGTCAACGCGTCGTCGACTGATCCCCAGTGAGACAGATTTCGCTCGAAGCTGGAACGGCCCACCGTTCGTTACCGTTTCAGATGCTGAATCACGGGGATCGTGCGATGAATTCTTTCTTCCCACCCGGTGGATTTCCTCAATTCCTCCGAGCTCGGGACATTAAGATCAGCATTGTTACAAGATCGGATTTCCCTTGCGTGGTGTCGTCTTGAGAAGAATGCTCTGTGAGATCAATAACTGACCGAATGCTCCCTCACCTGCTCTCTCCGTTGATATTTTTCGAAGGCTCTATGCCTCCCTGAAAATTGTTTCCCCGTAGATATGATGGAGAGAATTTTTGGTGCTCCGGTGCGATCGGATGCATTGGAGTGATGAGGGGCTCTTGCACGAGATTTTTTTTTCCAGCGGACGGCACGCATACAGCCGACCCATTAGGTAGAGGAATTTCGTGGATCACACTCGGATCGAATCACCGATCTATGATCACCGATATCGGAGTTCCTCAATCGAAAACCCTCGTGAGAAAATAAGGGCTGTTGTAATTGAGGAGCACCAAATAACTTCTCTGTAGTGTGAGCGCAACCACGAAAATGCTCAATGATCGACGAAAACACTAAAGATTCATGGAGGCGTCTATTCTCACTGTATGAATATGCACAATGACGGTATCTGAACCGTGAGCTCCGGGTTGCGGTGCCACACGTGATGTTCACGTCGTATTCATATGTCACATGCGAACCTTTGACAATAATCTCCGTCGTGCTTGTTCTTCCGCCGCGCGGAGGAAAACAGAACGGACGGTCGTACGTCCCCCCGCTCAGTTGCCTGCCTGCTCGCTCGTTGCCGCCACCGCCGCCATTGTGGAGCCCGCCAGGACGCGGTGCGCTTGCTGTGTCCTTATCACCGTCGTCCGGAACAAAGCAGAGAACGCGAAGCATCAGCATGAATCCCCCGTCCCTACACCACCCCATCATATCTGCCTGTCATGTCCTTGATGCTGGCCCCCTCACTGTCCATCTTGGAGACAATGGCTACGAATCGTCGGGACAGTGCTCGGAGCGGGCCGGGGGCGAGAGCGTAGCGGGAGCAGAGCGCAAACGGCATATAAATAGATGAGTGTTCTGTACTCTTTGTCTGTGCTTTTGTAAGTTCGACTGAATAACGTTTTTAGCGTCGCCGTCGCGAACTTTGTGCAGGCGAC